ATTGAGAAATAAAAAAAGCAGAAGGGACGGCCAATTGGCAGACCTTGAAAAGCCCCAAAAGGACGGAGAAATATCACCTACCAAGTGCCGTCATACAAGTCGTCCGTTCGTATCTCAAGGCCGTCATACCAGCAGATATTTATTAGAGTGGAATCCGTGACATAATGGTTCGTCTTCTGGTAGATATGAAAGCTCGTAAAGCTTGCTGTTACTTGATAGCATTCCGGGGCCTCGATGACCTTGGTAAATTTTACTTCTGAAAACGTGAAAACTGCTTTTGAATATATGTGCTTGCTCAGTCTTGGGAGTTTACAGACACACGAGCACACACACGCATACACACACACACACACACACACGCACACACACACACACACACACACACACAAACACACAAATACACACACACAGACACACACACACAAATACAAACACACACCCACACCCACACAAACACAAATACACACACACAAACACATACACACACATACAAATACACACACACACACACATACAAATATGCACACAAACTCACACACACACAAACAGAAACACAAACATTCACACACAAACACACACACACACATATATATGTATACATATATATAGATATATATGTATATATATGTATATATATTCATATATATGTGTGTATGTACATATAAGTATATATGTATATATGTATACATGTATGTGTATATGTATATGTACACACACACACACACACACACACACACACACACACACACACACACACACACACACACACACACACACACACACACACACACACACACTGCGTTTGACCTGTCAAGGCGATATGTCGCTTTCTCGGGCTCTAGCCAGTAGTCAGAGCTCAGATATTTTTACGACCGCCGCGACGGGGATTAAACTAGGACCACTAGGGTCGGAATCCAGTGCTCTAACCACTGGACCATCGCGGCAGTCATGTATATATATATATATATATATATATATATATATATATATATATATATATATATATATATATATATATATATATATATATGGGGTTCAAGGATAATATCCTCTGAGCTCCCCGTGCTAGGATTACGGTGAAGCTGCTGGCAGCACACACTACCCACACATATTTATGTGTGTGTGTGTGTGTGAATATATATATGTTTATATACATATTTATGTTCTCACACACACACACACACATACATATATGTGTGTGTTTGTGTGCGTGTGTGTGTTTATGTGTGTATCTATTATTGTTTGTGGGTGATTGTCTCATATATATATACAGATTGCTTACCAGTAGGTGAAATTGAAGAACTTGGTGAGGAGATGGTAGTTTCGGCAGAGACATGCTCTGATAATGGTGACAGGCATTGTTCTATTTGAAAAAGAAATGTATTAAGAAAATGAAGTGACTTCACTGTTACAAATGTATAGTATAAATAATATGTTGCTCACTGACGAGGCGACATTTACCGTTGTAGGGAGAATTGACAGTATCACAGTGGGTTCCGCCTGTACCACCCGGACATACGCAGTTACATGATGTGTCCAGGTATCCACCATTCAAACAAGGATCACTCCCCAGCGAACACTGGCTCAACAACTTGTCCGTACACTGGTACATAGTGTTTGCCAATAATTTGTCCATGTGAGATATCTGAGAGCGCTGTCCAAGAACCCCTTGGTATAAGGGGTCTAATGTGGCTATTGTTATTCCGCCATTATTCGTGAAAGCCTTTAAGAAAATTTGAAAATTAGAATAAATTGTAAACTAGAAGAATATACTTTAATATGGCATTAAGCATATCGACTGTAAACAAAAAAATAAATTATATTCATATATTTTCTTCCATAACACCCGATAAGCCGAGAGAACTTGTACCCGCTCATGGTGAAACATGATAGAACAGTAGTCGAACGGGACGCTGTAGTTATTATCAGAATAAATGGGGAAGTTGTCCACCACAGGTTCCAGAACGTTGTTATCATTAATCCGGACATAATAATTACGATCTGAGCGAGTCTCCTCTGGCCAAAATCCGACTGCGTAACCAAGTAAGTGCAGCAACTCGCCATGCTGTCGGTATGTGAGACTGTGAATTTATGGCCAACAGATAGTGATGTAGGGTCAGGTATGTGAAGGAATTTCCAATACAGGCGCTTTTGTCAGCCATCTCAATAGCTTACCTGACCCTCGCATTCCTTAGATATATAAAAATCTTGACCAGTTGTGGATACCATGCCAATGAAGGACCTGCAGTCATCAGAATGTCTCTGTATCTTCAGGTGCGGGCCACTGTACCCTGTAGACACTTCCATGAAGTTGATGCAAGTTGCCTGATTCCATTCCAAGATAGCCATCCAAACCTTGTATCGGTTAACATATGCTGAAATAAGAATTAGTGATATTAAAATGCCATTCAATATATTTGTATGATGGACCATGGGAATTCAGCATAAGACCTTTCTTTACAAACAAAATATATATATTTTTCAGTTCGCAGGGAATATCTCAGAAGGTTTACGGTTCGGAAACAGTAATCTGAACACATATGATGCAAAAATAAAACCAGCTGGAATTTTCATTTTCGGGATAGTTGCCCTTGCTTCAGCAACAGATAGATGAGACTGAGAAAGAGATTATGAAGGCTCCATTGACCTTGATACCTTAGTTATCCCGGAATTTATAACTTGTGGAATTAGCGCACACTGAATGTCAGCTTGTAAAGAATTTAGCACCGGGTAGGTAAGGCTAGATTGAAAACAGAACGTCACTTGTATTTCCTAATGCATTGTATTATTAATTTCAGTCAGCTGCGAAAATCCTTCTTGGGGAAATTCGTGAACTGCATATTTTGATGTGGCTTGTCAAATGATATGCTGCATCATATCTGAAACTGACCCCGAAACTACACATTGGTTAGAATCTACCAATGTATATGGAGTTAGTAATAACTAATGAACGACTCTACATAGAGGTTGAATACGACGTTGATGCTTCATTGTTTTTTGTTGATTACGGCTTAGTTCAGTGGTCCATAACCATTCACGATAAATGCTGGTGTTTTACAATCTACTGGAATGAAGACAGTAAAACAGCATTTTCAATGCCTTATTTTGATGAGATAAATTCACTCATAGTTTTAAATGGGTTATGCAAATTCCCAATAAACATTTGAATAACACCAAACGAAGCCAAGAGATCAACAAACCATCATAGAAGGCAAAGGGGATGAGAGGGAACCCGCCATCATCGGCCCAGTACGCGGTGAGGTTTGAAGACGCTTTTCTCCCGTGCAGTATCGCTTGCTGTGCGGGAGTCAACATGAAGTCATGGTCGTCGTGGAACACTTCGGGCGGATATACCTGTTGAGTATAATGGTTTATATATATGTGAACTTATCTTTATATATATATATATATATATATATATATATATATATATATATATATATATATATATATATATATATACATATAGTTTTTTCCCCTTCTGTTACTTTGCTTATATATATATATATATATATATATATATATATATATATATATATATATATATATATATATATATATTAATGTTAGTAAGCCATATAAATAGCTTCACTAAAAAAAATTATACCACCAGAGGTGTTAGTGCAGGTCAAAACACTGCTAAGAAAGAGAACATAGAAAGTCAGATATTTACGTGGTAAAAACATTAAACTGATCTTTTAAACTTATTGGGACAAGGAGAAATTATTATCTTTGAAGGCAATTAATCCCAAATCCTATAAATAGTAAAAAGGATCTAGAAAGTGAGATGTAGACGATCGATTTACATCAAATGTCACTGAATTGATGGAGAAAAATCAAGTAAAATGTAACTTATCGGTTATAATCTTGTATAAAACTGAAAGAACCCCACTGTCCAAATTTAAGTCAGACAGGAGAAATTTCATGGAATTAAAAAACAACGATTAAGCTGTCTTAAGTGTGACTCTGCAGCAGATATCCACACGATGAAGTAGAATGAGAAAAACGAAGTATCTACGAGTGATGTTATAATATTCATAAAGCTTGGACTAGCAAATGATGTCTAACTTAAATGAAACTGCCCGGGCCATATGCCTCATTTGCAATCCAAATGTAAGCTTTGAATCAAAGGTTACACTTATACATACATATATATACATATATACATACATATATGTATGTATATATACACATACATGCATATATTTATCTATATAGATGATGAAAACACTCTACCGTGTTGATACTATGGTAGAAAAACCCACAATAAATAAATCAATGTAATAAATCTAGTTTTTACTTTGTGGGTTTTTCTACCATCTATCTATATATAGAAACACACATTTTACACACACACACACACACACACACACACACACACACACACACACACACACACACACACACACACACACACACACACACACAAAACACACACGCACGTTTAAATACACGATATCTGAACGGCTTCCAGACCAAGGATACGACTCCGAACGTCTTGTATTCAGACTTTAGCATCATATCATATTATATTTTTTTATATACTCCAACAACGAAACCTTCGTCCAGCTCTCCAACGAGCGTTTTCAACTTCTTGATCAGCTGGTATTTTTCCTGCTCGTCGGTCCTTTCCTCTCTGTGAAATGGCGCTCACTGTTGATTGATAGTTTGTGCTGCTAATTTTGAAAATGTGCAGCCTACCAAGTCAGTTGAGGGTGAGCATGGAAACTTTGGCGAGGCCACAGTGGCATCCTTCGAGAGAGTTTTTAGTATATGGAAGGTCTTGCTTTACTATCTCGTACACGTTTCAGTGGATATGAGGCAACTGCGTACTTGGTCGTTTATCCGTTGTCCTACGTATGACTTGGAAATATCTATGATACCACCTCGCCTTGGAGTTTCATCTGCAGTAATCATGGCCATGCAGTCGTGCACCTGGGCACACTGGTATGATCAGGCAATCTTTTCCAGGCAACGGCGAGGAAGAAAATTTTGAGGAATATATGATGAGTCATCGATATCAGGAGGCAGTGTAAGCGCTAGTGTATATTGGTCCATGGCACTAAATGACAAATATCGATAAGCGTTGTCATATAAACCACATAAAGCGAACACACAGCAAGCAAGGTCTATATAAGTAATTAGACTTTGATGGCCTGATCAGCTTGAACATTAGTTCTTAACCTTTCGCGCTCCCTAGGGTGGTGTCAGAATTTAGCTAATTTTATTTACTATTCTCTTAATGAGAGTATGGTCAAATAATATATATATATATATATATATATATATATATGAATATATATATATATGTATATATAGTGGCATCCTTCGAGAGAGTTTTTAGTATATGGAAGGTCTTGCTTTACTATCTCGTACACGTTTCAGTGGATATGAGGCAACTGCGTACTTGGTCGTTTATCCGTTGTCCTACGTATGACTTGGAAATATCTATGATACCACCTCGCCTTGGAGTTTCATCTGCAGTAATCATGGCCATGCAGTCGTGCACCTGGGCACACTGGTATGATCAGGCAATCTTTTCCAGGCAACGGCGAGGAAGAAAATTTTGAGGAATATATGATGAGTCATCGATATCAGGAGGCAGTGTAAGCGCTAGTGTATATTGGTCCATGGCACTAAATGACAAATATCGATAAGCGTTGTCATATAAACCACATAAAGCGAACACACAGCAAGCAAGGTCTATATAAGTAATTAGACTTTGATGGCCTGATCAGCTTGAACATTAGTTCTTAACCTTTCGCGCTCCCTAGGGTGGTGTCAGAATTTAGCTAATTTTATTTACTATTCTCTTAATATATATATATATATATATATATATATATTTACAGATGCTACGAAGGCGTGGACAGAAGGACAAATTCATAGAGGAGACGCAGTAGTAAAAATGTTAAGAACCATTGGATTAGAAGGAATGAAGGCCAGAAAACTCTGACACTGAAGTCAGAGGAATGATTCTACTCCGAGAACCGTTTATATGCACACACACACACACACACACACACACACACACACACACACACACACACACACACACAGACACACACACACACATCTATCTATATAAACATACACAATAAAATAAAATAAAGCATGATAAATAAAAAAAATATTTTTCAACCATTGTTATTAGTGAACCATTAAAATAATGTACTGAAAATATATTTGCGATAAAATATCGCACAGATTCAAAGGTCAAAGAGGGGGCAGAGCTAATGAGAATGCGCTGTGAGATATCAGATATGGCTAGATACAATAATCATCAGCATAATCGATATTATTATAATTATCAGAAGTAAAACCAAAATTCCCCTCTTTAGTGTATGTTAACGGAGAGTTCATCACCACCAAAAGACGTCAGAATGCTCTCAGTAAAATATTAATATAATTTTTGTTTTCAACTAACTAACTGGAAGTGGAGCTAACTGGTTATATGTACTATGACCGCGACATTAGGACCTGTAAGTGAAGTGTTTCTCACCAAAGCTCAAAATTACACCTGTTTCTACTATTGTGAAGCAAAGGGAGAGTAGTAAAAGAACTGATACGTCTACTCTGTACGTAGGTCTTGATATTAAATATATATATATATATATATATATATATATATATATATATATATATTATATATATGTGTATATATATGTGTGTGTGATATATATATATATATATATATATATATATATATATATATATATATATATATATATATTCCACTGGTCCAGTATTTTCTTTTCACTACCTATCATATAAATTTAGAATTCCTGAAAAAACTCAAGAGACATTAGTCTTGGCAGGTGGCTGTTTTCGGCCATGTTTACCTTAAAAGTAATTTGCCAGCACACCTTTCTCACTATTTTCAGTGTTTATATTTCGTGCAGAAAGAGTAATGTATCTTAAATCTCTCTAGCAGTGATCTAACTATTCTCTTTGATGGTAATTCATTTCAGGTGGATGACAGGACTAGCAAAATTAGTTGCATTGTCAATATTTGATCCAACATATCTTATAGATTTTCATGGGATACATACTGGCCTCGTTAATTAATGTGTATCTTAGCAACAACAAGCCCTATTAATTAACTACTTGCGAGTTTGTTCAGATTTTAACCTATCCTTAACACAGACATTACGTAACTGCCAGTTATAGGCAAGATTTTTATTTGTTTTAAGCACCATTAATTTGTAAAATGGGTCTACTTTCGTACTTTCGTACAGCCCTTGTAGAGCATTACATATTTAACGTATTTAAAGATTTTTTTTTTTGGAAATCACATGAAGAGAAAGCACTACCATTACCTCTTCACTACTTATTGATTTAGCATTTCAAGATGGATCATATCGGTATCATCAATGAAACGTGACTTTATCCGGCATTAGATACTTTGTCAATGTGCCAGGAATGACGGCAGAGTTACAAATAAAGGCAAAATTTATATATAAGATAAAAAACAAACTTGTTGGGAATTTCAAAATGGAA